GTCACTTCAGCCTTGTCAATCTGTACCTGTTAAAAACCAGTATTGTAACCTGTTTTATCAGCGCTCTGGCACTGCACTAGATGATGTGCTACTATGTAAGTAACACTTGGTGAGAATGCACATGCATTGTGTAAGCACTGCCCTCTACTGGGGATTAGGAGCGCTGAGGAATGAGTAGAAAGTTTTAAAAAGCTGATGACTGCCCCATTTTTTACTTAATTGAGGGGGCTTTCACTGTGAAACAAGAAAACATAATCACTGTCCTAACTGCTTTTGTCAAATGTCAAGAGGCAAATTCCAATAGGCACTGCAGTGAATCAGGAAGCTGTTGTGTTATAACAACAAAGACACACTAAAGAGAAAAAAAAGCACAAGTCAGATACAGGAAACAAACCTGGATTGATATGAACTCTTGCTACGTATGCTGGAATGCACTAAATGTGCCGCACTATTACTACATTAAGTTCTGTCAGCTCACTGGAGGTTGTAAGGGAGCTCCAAATACCAGGGAGAAGAGTTTTTTGTGCCTGTCAGACCAGAGCCCAGCCCCTGAATTCTACAGAGGAAATCCCCATCACCAAAGCGTGGGAGGCTTTTTTCCATTGACCCTTAAAACACCTGCAGAATCTAAAATACCACAAAGTACATAACCTTGTTTCAGTAGCAGACTGGGGAAGAAGTCAATAGAGGAAAAAAGCTGGTGGCTAGAGGTGAAATAGAATTATACAAAATAAAATACGCATATAAATATTTCTAAGAAAAAAAGAACAGCAGATGATTATGCTGGAAAACATATGATCCAATAAAAGCAGTTTTTCTACAGTTTTCAAAATTGTTGAGTTCAAAATGCACTTCTAAATAAGAAAGACAGTATTTCAAAGTAGTTGTTAATAAAAATAAAGAATGATTTTTGTCATTACTTATTTTCACTTTTCAATAACATGGCACCTCTCAAAAGTGCTTAGAGAATTTATCAGTCTGAGCCTTCCTGGAAGTCACTGCAGCTCTGCTGCAAAATTTCATCTGAAAACACGATGTTTTTCCAGTATTTGGACTATCCTCCTGTTCCTTGGTACATATGTGGGTTGGAGCAGCAGTTAGACACAGGAGATCAGATTGTGGTGTTTGTGGCCAGATTTTCGCAGGAGCTTAGCAATCAACGTGCACCCAGAATGTGAGCTCTTTCAGAATTCTGGTTTTCTTGTGTGGTTGCTGAGCTATTTTTGAAAGCCTGGCTAGCTGCACAAAACATACTCATTTAGCACTCAGTTGCTTACCTATAGTTAATATATGGGTAGTTGTGTGACATATAAAACCAAATGCTGTATTCATCTTCCACAAAGAAATTAATATGATAAGGGAATTATTAGCAATCAAACTACTAAGAAACAGAGCAAAAATAACCAAGGAAAACAGACACAATCAATTCAGAGTATAAAGTCTTGTAAAAGAAATCCTAGAGGTCTCAGTTCTGTGAAATATGTGAACAGATTTTCAATCCTATCCTTGTTCAGGAAATCTTGTTAAGCAGATACATTTAATTCACTGATTCCAATGGAATTTACACTTCATGGGTTTGAAAAAACAAGAATGCAAATACAAGAGAATTTACAGTTGGCAGACAAGTAGAGAAGGTAGGGAAAAAATGAAGAAAAAGAAAGTATGCACAAAAAAAATGGTGCATTTCTAAATACCACAAAAGTCACTTGAACAACTGGGCAACTGTTATCCAGTGTACCTTAAGAATCACACAAGCAACACACCTTGAAAATACAAAAAAGTATCAATGCAACTTGGAATCTCATTCATTGTTGGGATAAGAAGATAAGTTTCAAGCCTACACCACATGTGTTCTGACAGTGTAGCCTACTCGATGAAGCACTGAGCTGTACAATGGGATTATAAGTTTTATAAAAAAAATGTATGAGGTCTCTTGGTGAAAGACGACTGCATCAGAGAGAGATTTTCAGAATGCTCTTCCACAACAGCTTCCTAATTTTTTGACTGTCACTTTCTTTAAAAAAACTTATTTCTATGTTACCCTTGGCAAAGAATAGTAGAAGATTCCAACTTTTAGGCATACATTGCAGCATATCTGGGGATGAAAAAGAGAAACAAGTTCATTCTAAAGCAAATTCAGGAGTGCATATACAAACCATGGATATTAAGAATGATGCTACATTCCAGGGCTGGAACAGACCTCAAGGGACTATGCCACTCATGATTTCCCCAAATGCAGGTTTTAATGAAAGCCTGGAAGAGAATGAGAACTGAATTATGATCCAGGAATTTTGGTCACATGCAAAGACGAAGAGACTGACCCAAAGAGCACATCCATAGCTCTCTTTGGGCAATTTTCACTGATTATTCTAGACTGCCATCAGATTACCCACACAGTTATTAATAAGTTCATATTCAAAATTTAGCACTTCTAGAAGAATCACAACATTTATGACATGGCTTTTTACATGTGCTGAAAGCTCCCACAGTTATTCCATATCTGAATCACTGAGAAAAGCTGGATAACACATGATTATGATTCCTAAATGTTCATTTTTATTTCAGCCTAATTTTTAAGAAGTATGATCATCACTTTGTCCTAATTAATATTATAAAAACGATGTCTGAGTGAAGCAGTATTTTAAAAGCCTAAATATGAGAGTTCAGTTAAAAAAATAGCACATGCTTGGGCTCAGGATATGTGAAGTTTCATTCCTAACTGTGCAACAGATTCGCAGTGGGAATTTGGTGCATGACCTTATCATGCTGCATGTGGATTTACATCTATAAGACTTCCAAGCTGCATGGTAAGCACTTCACAATACTATCTAGAGTGTGGATATATGCACAGCAGCACCTCACAACACTGACCTTGTATCAGGCGCTTTTAGGCTCAACTACAGCCCAGATCAAGACTTCTATCTTTTTTCTAATTCCTTAAGAAAAAAGAAGAAAAACAGAAGATGGTTTCCTGTTCTGCCAAAAGGAAGAGAGGGTGGGTGCAAGGCTAACATAAAAAACATGCCCAGGTTCACCACTCTTCCTGTTTGTCTCTGCAGTTACATGACAGATGACTCTTAGTTACTTTCAGCTTTGCTAATAATTTGAATGGCAACCACTTTCTTGCATGGTTTGGGGAAGAACAGTGTCTCACTCTGGAGTAATGCCTGGGCACTGATGCTGTTGCACAAGTGTTGCAAGCAGGAAGTGCTGCTGCTACTCCATGAGAGTGAAAGTGTCTATTTACTAAGAGAGCTTTACACTTTATACTTACAAATCATATTTAGGCTTCTCAATCCAAAGTATATATCTGACTTATCAAGAATTTTTGTTGAGTTTAATGGCCTTTACACAACTTTCTATAACTACTGCAAACACACAAAGTGAGAAAAACAAATTATAGGCAAAGTTTTATGCCTTCTGACTTCCTTCTTTCTTCTGCTCCAAATCATAGCAATCTTGATGTCTGACAGTCATGGATGGATAACAAGTGTAAAAAACTTAATAAAATTTTCCAGATGGAATTGAGTTTATTACAACTGAGGTTTTTTTGGGCTTTGAGATGCCACAGTCTTTTAAATCTCAGAAATCTGGGTCTCCCTGCTGCAGAAATCAATGAAATCCATAGCCTCACGCACTGAAAACCAGAAAAATGAGATGCTGCATTCCAGAGAAGGCAATACAGATTCACTTGCTCAGACTTAAAAATCCTCCATGATAGCATGTGATGCAAATAGCCCAGATAGGTTGTCTGCCTGCCGCAGAGTACACATATCTGCTTCTCTTCTTCAAAATTCCACCATAACAGCAGCACAACCTAGCAGAACTAAGGGTTAACGACTCTGTAACTTCACCACAACCCAGACAACTCTGTTCAGCACTATGCTGTATTCTGTATGTGCTGCATTTTGAAAGCACAGTCATTTCTGAATAACCATTTTAAACTGTTTTTGTCATAATTCAAGCAGAAAAGTTAGATGCAGGCTCTGAGAAACCAGATGACTTGTGCAGAAGGTAAAATAATCAGAATGGTACATTATGCCATAAAAACTTGGAATTAATAGGCTTGTTTGCAGCAACATGGATCTAATGTGATGACCTTACAATGATTAGCACCTCACTTTACCTGTGAATCTGCTGCTGTATGAAGAATAATGTCCTGTTCCCCACGCAGGTAACAGCACATGATGCTCTGCAAAAGGGTATACATTCACCCTGAAACAGATGTAAGAAACATAAATGAACAGATCTAAGTTGTAGCTCAAAAATTCCAGCTACTCACAGGGCAGCTCCCAACAACCAGGAGTGTTTAGCACATGATCTGACGTGAGTAACACCCAGCATCACATCTTTTCTTCAGAACAGGGAGGGCAATATTTCTACAGCTTCTGACCCTCTGCTTTACCCAGTGAAGTATCCTGTCTGTACTTTCCTCACAAATGTGAACTGGGGAAGACCATTTCAAGGACACACAGGAAAGGCTGATGAAAAGAGAAATTCTGTTTAAATAAAAGAAACCAGTCTAGTTCCTCTTTTGCTTTATTATTTTAATTCTTATAATTAAGCTGTTACTTTTGCAATTTTCCTTTCTCAAAAGTTTGCAAAAAAGCACTTAATATCAGCTCAAGCTCAAGAAAGCTCAAGACAGGTTTAGGAAGGGCTTAAAGTGAAAACCATCAAAGTTAATGACCTAGCTAAAAGTATAGTTTTCCGATAGCATTCAGGGAGCTTTTGCACACTCAAAGGCCATCTAGTGACTAAAGTTAACAATCACATGCTTTTGACATGGCAATATTCAAATCATGCTACTCATCAAACACGCAACAGACCATTAATACTGAAGAACGGGAAACATTTGAAGTATGAAAGTATGGTATAGTTTCAAAATAAACGTTTCCATTCTTTTCTCCCAAAATCAGATTTTTAACAGTTTTTCCCTTTTCCCAAGTAACAAGAATGCAAGAGGCAGTGTCAAAATCATGCTAAGAAGTGAAACATAGTGTTCAGTGCTTTTGTAGTGAGGTTTCAAAGTTTGAACATGGATAAGTAGGACTAAGACTACACCAGCAATGCCTTCAAAATTTACTGCACCAACACAGCAGATAGAAAGTAAATCGAAGATATGTACATTATTCATAAGACAGCTGGTGGAGGCAGCTGAACCATACACTGCATGCTCCAAAATTCTAGTTATTTATTAAAATGGTCCACAAGAAAAGAACACAGAGATGAATGGCCCTGTGTGCTTAGCATATCCCAAGATGAAAGCAATCATCTGCTGAACTTGCAGCACATAAAAACTGACAGCTCTAATACATATGTTCAGAGAGGCTTGGGGAAAAATGGAAATAAGATAGAAATGTGTCATCTCTCGTCTTTTTGGCTATTCTTGCCATCAGACTGGGGTACTCTTACAGAATGGACATAACAGATTCTGAGTTCTAATTTACAGGTAAAAAGTTGGAGATACCCACAAGCAGAGGAGACTCAGCATACACTCTCCTCTGGCACCAGAAAATGCCTTAAGATTAAATAACATAGTCCAGCTACAATTCTTGTTTCAGAAAATGAGAGAGGGACTGCTCGGGCTTAATCAAAAATGACAAAGGTTAAAACAACCCAGGGACACTGTACTTACATATATAAAGGGTTATGACAGGATTGAGAGCTTTGGCTTACACTTTTAAATGCAAAATGGATCAATCACTTTTTTTTCACCAGACAGAACATTCTGATAGAATATTTATGAGGCCCCAAAAGACAGGTGGTGACAAGTCAAAGTTTTGCTCTTGGAATAACACAGTGCTCATTTGAATTTGGTAAAAGACGGTGGCAAATATTTAGTTTGGCATATATGCTAAATGAACCAGCTCAGCAGGCAGAATCTTATATTTTAACCTTTGCTGATATTAGGACTACAGTCAATTTCATAGGACAGTATAAGCAAGTTTTCTTTAAAATTTGAATACTTCCCTACTAGCAACACTTATTTCATTGAGTTCTTGAGAACACAGGACAATTTAACATCAGGTCTGAATTTCTCTCTTGGTCTGTCCCTGCAGCAACTCTTACCATCCACCACTATATTCCCTTGAAAGAGCGTCACTCAAGAAACCATGATAATATTATCCATCTGTCTATCTGTCTATCTATCTATCTATCTATCTAGCTAGCTATCTAGCTATCTAGCTATCTAGCTATGCTTTTCTTCCACCCTGCTGAAGTACCTGTCTCTGCCACTCGATGCCTGACTCTGCCCAGCAACTCACATATCCATTGAGCAAAACTTCTGGCTCATAGTCTGGAAGGGAGACATATTCTCATTTTTCTATCATACTTTGACCAATTTTTCTTTGTCTCAACTTAGCTCTTATTTGATCCCTTTTAAGACCTCTCTGACCTTTTCCTGGACTCATCTAAAATGCTTCACTCTGAGATGGATTTGAATAGGTGAAATACAGAGTAAATAAAAGACACCAATGCAGAAGTGATTGTTTTGGACAGACAGAAAAAAACCCCTTGAGTATGTGCGTGGGCATGATTACCATGGTGTTTTCATAGATGTCATGTCTTAATGCAAACATCACATACATGAAATCATGACAATCATTCCCTTTACAGGCTTCTTCTGTTCTGCTTTTTATATTTAACTCTCTCACAGGAGAAGCATGCAGAAAATATTTTCGATACAGTTATTAACTGTATCTTAACTCCTCTAGTTATAGAATGCTGCTGAATTTAGTCTGCTGAGATAATTAACTGTCCACAAACTTCATAAAAGGACTGTTTAGACAACTCCAATATTCACAAAACCTGAAATTTACAAACAACCAGATCTCTGTGGAGAGGAAAAAGATGTTGTTTGAAATCTGTCTCAGAAGCCTCTGACAACCTAAAGCCATAATTACATGCTTCTTGTATGGAACATTAGCTAATTAATCTGACTTAATAGTTTCTTCAAGCAGCAATCAGAACCAATTGCAAGAATGAATTTTAGTTTATTAAAAATCATAATTGTTAAAGTTAATAATCACACATAAACTAAATTAATGTGAGATTTGTTAAGGTAGATCATTCCTATCAACCAATTTTTCATCAATATCCTTGTACTCTGTTTTGACATTCTGCACGCATGTTTTCTATATCAATTTACAGGGAGGTCCAGGGTAAAAATAAGAAATGTGAAATAATATGAGGCAGTTACTGGCGTGTGGTGGTGACTTTTAATGTGCATTTGAGATTTTTTTTACTTGAAAATATTTTTGTGGGTTTATGTATATAACCTACACAAAATTTAGGTTCCCTTTCATTAGCAAACCTAAAAACAGTTAGAAATTGTTCACTGACTTGGCTTATTTTAGGTCGGCAATTGTATCTTCTTTTTGTGAAATACTGGGAAACAGGATCATCCAACATCTCCCCTGTTTATTTTGGAGGTTGTATTTTGGAAGAAAACATCCCAAGGAACATCTTTGTAAGCTCTAGATCAACCATTGAAAAAAAAGCAGAGAAAAAGTTTCTATGTAATCATTAATGAATGACACTGGTAGATAGATAATAAGGACTATGCGAAGTAGATGCAGAAAGCAACAAAAGTATAGACTTCTTTTTTAATGGGAAATGAAAAGCCTGGGATTTTATGCTGCTTGCTGGGGAACAAGTAGCTACTGCACAGGATTTTTCACAGGATCATCTTCTTTAAAATGGTCTCACTCACTAAGTGAAAATGATAGCTTCTCCTCCAATAAGCTTACAGTAGTGAAGGGATTTATTTTGTCTGAACTTCAATAATCAGTTAAGAGAGAGGAGACATAAGTAGAGACTGGACACCAGGCACGTCATGTCCCTGACAGGCGCTGAAGAGAGACGTGCAGCATGCCCTTTTGGAAACTACAGTTTCTCTTCACTTCTCTGCAGGGGAAGTGGAGATGAAAGGCACAGACTGGATACAAACTTCTAGATAACTAAAGTTCATGAGATGAATCCTACGCTAAATGCCATTAAATAGCAGAAATTCTGACTCTTAGAAAATTTTTTTTATAGTCTTATATATTCTGCTACCTAAAGGTGCTTAGTAGCAAAAAGTAGATTAAAAAAACAAAGTAAAACAAAAGCAAAACCTGTTTTAAAAAGAAATGGTAGCTCACTATTAGTATATGACTTATAGACACTGTGCATTGTTTTTGACCCCTTATATTTTAAAAATAGCTGTATTAACTTTAGTGGGCCCAGCAACAGATAATGCCAAATAAAAGATTTTCAAATGACTCTTTTAGATTCTTTCACTTGATTCTTTGGTTAATTATTCTATTTCTCTTTACATACAGAAGGTAAAGATAACCTATGGCCATTACTTCTTGTCTCTCTTTTAGTCTTTTGATAGAAAAGGCTACAAATGTCTCCCTGAAAACTCCTTTTAACTAAGCATAAATCCCACCAGTTTACATTGGAGAGGACATGCATGGCAACATAAGCAACAGAAAAAAGACTTAGAGTTGTTGAATCAACAATGAAATCATTCTGCTATTGGGCAAGGAAAAGCAAAAGCAAAATGAAATACGTAACTCAGGCATGATAAACAATCTAACCCTTAGTGAACAACCACAGTTGTTTTATTCAATGGCATTCAGCCTTAAAGAGATTATTTCAAGTTTTTTACATTATTTCCAGATGACCTATTAGCTTATTAGGCAGTTTGCTATTACACATTTAATTGTTTTACAGGTATTTAATAGCACAGATATTTTTGAGTATGCTGTAGGCCATTTTTCACAGAATCACAAAATAATCTGTGTTGGAAGGGACCCTCAAGGATTATCAAGTCCAATTCCTGGCCCTGTACAGGACCATACCCAGGAGTCACACCATATGCCTGAGAGCATTGCCCAAATACTTCTTGAAGTCTCTCAGGCTGGTGCTGTGACCACCTCCCTGGGGAGCGTGTTCCAGTGCCCAGTCACCCTCTGGAAGAAGAACCTTTGTCTAACATCCAGCCTAATATTCCCCTTGTTGAACCTAATTTGGCTGGTCATTGTCCAGACTTCTAATTTGTCAAGGTCTGAATGTCCATAAATAGCTCATTTGTTGTTTTTCAAGTTGCACATTTCTTCTCACTTTACTTTACATTTTTTTATTTCTGATTAAACTTTCTTCTTTCTATTTCTACAGGCAGTCAAAACTTTTAACTTACTAAGTACCTAAATACTGCCTAAGGAAATTTTCTATCAATATTTGAAATGGAAAAGAACTGGAATCCTACCTTGAGATACTTCTCAGTCAATGCTATGATTACTTCTTTAGAGTAATGATTATTGTGGAGAAAATGCTTACTGCTTCAGCAGATGAACCACTGGGAAAGGGACTCTTCCTATACAAAGGCCACAGAAATTAATATAATGTGACCACAACTCTTTCAGTAAGTTCTGCATGAAATTCTCCAACTGAGCCTGTTAAAGATACAGTAGAAGAAAGATAAGATCTCATGGATAAATAACTGGTTAGAAGATCACAGACAGAAGGAAGGGATAAATAATCAGTTTTCCAGGTGGGTAGAGACCACTGTAGAGAGACCTCCAGATAATCCATTTGGTCTTAGGACATTTTTGCCTAACATATTCACAAATTAGCTATAAGTAGGGAGCTGGAATGTAAGTGATATGCTCAAAAAGGAAATGTATATATTCATGAAGACAAATCTTTGAATCCATGACTATTAACTAAAACACACAACCTCTTGGTCATCAATCCCTGCTCAACAAATCATCTCATGATAGCAAAACATTTGGAGGAAGGATGAGAACTTTACTAAACATCCAAAGTCTTGGATGAAATGCTGAACTACATGGGCTTTTGGAGAAAGCCAAAAATCTTGTAGCAGCATGAGTAAACTACTTTTTTTTTTTTTTTTTTTTGTTTACTCTACCAAATCTATAAGTTAAATGTATAGTATTTCATATTTCTCATTTCCCAGCTTTGGAGGAAACTGTGTCTTCAGATATGTTAGTTTCTGGCAGTGGCAAGAAATCATCTCTGCTTTTTATCAGACTTGTCAGATAACCTGGTCCATTCTGCAGTCCCCATAACCTCTGTGTTAAAGCCTACAAATAGAATAATATTTACAAACTGGACAGGAAGACTTAATCACCAGGTCCTCAGTACAAATACACCTGTATGGTTAAATCTGGGACCATCCTCCTCCTAACCACTGCAAAGAAAACTTGAGACCACAGAGCAAAGGGTAGAAAATTCTGTTGCCATATGAGTGAGGGAAGGGGACTCCACAGGGAAACGCTCTTAAGGCTGGTCTTCCTCCCCTATATGGAATGAGAATACTTGGAGAATAGCTCCTCAGCTGTTGTCCTTTCTCTGATTCTTCAGTCCTAGAACGGCCTTCTTCACCAGCTTCTCACATTTGTTTTGCTACTACAGAACTTCACAGAGTTTGTTTTGCTCAGCAGATGCAAAAGACTGCTAGAGAAGTTCGAAGTTGTGGCCAAAGCCACAGTGCTACATCTTCTCACAATAGAGAACTCCTGTCTGCTGCAGATTTTTTATATACCACAGCTCATCTGTCTCAAAGACTGCAAGGCTGCTTCTCTCTCTTTTTTTCATGTTCATCCCAGACACAGTGGAGAAAGTGACTGTAGAATTTGCTTACAAAATGCCTGACTGACCTCTCTTTCAGCACAACTTCCCCAAATGACTTAGCTGTGGAATGTCTTGGGACTGGTATCTAGAAAGGTTAGCAACTTACATCACATGCCTGGGGGCTGGTAGTTGGGGTCTGAATCACACAGCTAAAATCTGGAATTTGTTTATGCAGTCTCATTAAAAATAATACCTAAAAACCTATCTACTTTTTATATTAATATCTACACATTCAAAGTTAATAGCTCAGCATCACAAAAGAACTTGTAAATGCATAGTAGGTTTGGAAGAATACTTACACCAATTCCTTAAGAAATTTATGCTGCACTATATCTGTTTCAAGGTTTGTCCCTGAGTTCAGTTTGACTTTTCCTGACAACTTCAGCAGAGTCAGCGTTTTAGTCTAATAGTGAACTTTCCTGAACAAAACAACATCAGAAAGCCACCAGACAGTTTCTATCTGCTTCCTGGAACTACTGTCCATTTCAGAGCACTTTCTTGACTGTAACCCAGGTTACTGACTTGATGTCATTCAGTTTCAGGTTTTGTCTGTGTTCATTTCAGATGTGTCTCTATGTGCCAGAGTATGTCTTTCTCTGCCCACTTTTCTTTGCATTGAAAAATTATTGGGAAGATAAAATTGCTTATCTCAAATCTTCTTTCCCCTTCACTTTTTTAGAGGCTTGCAAAAAAAAAAAAAAAAAACCAGCTGAACATTTCTGACTGATGTCAGCGGTCTAATTTTCATATGTAACTGAAGAAAATAGTAAATGAGAAATAAGAGTGAAAATTACATGGTATGGGCAAGAAAAAAAAAGGAAAATTATATAGTTTATTTTTTATCCTTTGTGGTTTCTTGGGTTCCTTACTGTTCTTTTATATGGCTGCATTAAGCAAGAAGTGATTTAAAATGCAAAATTTGAACAGAAACCGGGAACCAAAACCACTGCCAGAATTTATGGTACAATGGACAATAACGTGCAGAAAGTATTGCTAACTGTGCAGTAACTGCACTATTTCACAGCAAAATGGAACTAGGAGTTTATTTACATTTTGCTACTGTGTTCTAAGAAGTGCCTCCCCTCATCTCATGGTGGGTGAGATACCATAAAATTGCGTTCTAGCTACATGTAATGAGCATTTCTCTGTGAAAGTCACTGAAATTAACTTCAAACATAATGCTTATTGTTAATTATGTCCATCCTTATAAGTCCTGGACAGGTATTTCTGCTTTCCACAATTTTTATCAGAAAATTCTGAAACCATCAAGCCAATTTTACTTGATGTTATAAGGAAGGAATTTCCATTTTAATGCTACAATCACTACAAAATAATCAGACTCAAATTTATCTTTAAGACACTATTGTGAAATAAGAGGGTAATGGTGTACTTTAAACAATATGTGATGGCAGTCTTCAAAAACTTCTGTTCTCTGATCAACCAGACACTGGAACAGGTCTCTAAACGTGCTGCACTGCAACTTGTCAGGAAATACTAAAATACACTAAAATACAGAAATATCCTGGGGATACACGGGATTTCCTAGCTTTGGAATGATTTGGTTTTCTCAGTTTGCTTTAAAGTAGGTGTTCATTAGAACTATGGTAAATAACTTCACATTTTACATAAATAGATTTTTTTTAAAAAAAACAGTAATTACCTTAAAAATTGGATTATTTTTAGCAATAGAATTCTCATTAGAATTTGCTGACTGGTACCTCTTTGCTACAGCAGGAACAATTAATCATACAAACAGTTTACTGCAGTTATACTCGGTTCAAATATCCAAGACAAATGTATTTTACAAGATTGTTCCTTTAGGACCCTGGGGAATGGAGTTCAGAAACTCATTTTATTTATTTGTTAAGCCCCACCAGTTCCTTCAGTGATTAAAAAAGTAGTTTACTTTACGCCTGAGTCATACCCTGGACTTCCCCCTTCTGTCCTGGCTGGTTTCCTCCAGGAGGTCTCTGTGGTCAGGCTGTGATGGGGACGCTGGTGAGGTTCCCTATCGCTGTAGCCTGCCAGGGATTCAATAGCTCTTCCAACACTGGGCTGCTGTTCAGCTCCTGCTGCTGGACTCACAAAACCTGAGCAGAGATCTGTTAAAGGCACAACATCCTGGTGTGGAAATAAAGGGTAATTTGCCCCTGCTGGAGGGGTGAAAAGATAGATTTTAAGGAAATAATTACTGTTCTCTCTTCAAAGCTGGCAAAACCATGATTGCTCTCAAGACCCCTCATACCAGACATACGCATCTTCTTCAACTGACTTGGATACCCTTGGTGATCATCTTGTAAACTGGTTCAGCTGGTGAGGCAGTTGAGGACTTTCCAAAGGCACTTTCCTGCCTTTCAGGTCCATCAGAAAACAGTTATTCTCTTCTATTTTCCTTGTGTGCAGTAAACCTAAAAGATGCAATTTGATCCTGTTTCTCCAAGATTCTGAAGTCCCAGACAATAAATCACAGTAAAAGCAGAAGTCATTTTCCAGAAAAAGCAGTGCATAGAAGAGCATGGCAGTGTTCAACTACTGATTTCTTTCCTGAAAAGAAATTTATCAAGTATGGTAAGGAAAGAAAAGAGCCATTGCATGCTTAGATTTTTTCTGTTGCTTGGTAATGATGGAAAACACCTCTTAATGAAATTTCTCCTGGTGTGACACTTAGTTCATGCCTACCACTGGTATGCGTGTCCTTCAAGGGGACACACATAACAAGTTGTAGTGACAGCTGAGAATGTTTTATATGCAATGTGGGCACTGTAAGGCTAAGCCAACACACTGAAAACATAGAACTCTGTCTGGTACATCCTGTGTCCACTTTCTATCATAACTCTACAGTTACCTGAGTGAAAAGAAACTTCCAAAATTTGACATCTACCAGTAACGAGCCTTTAAAAATGTCATAGTGGTGTCTATATTTACTGACTCTCAGTAATTTCCATAACAAATATTGTCAGTTTCACACTAGAAATTACATTCAGTGGTGCAGCTTGACTTTTTCCTCCCTACCTTCTTACCTCCTCCTGGAAAGATTTAGAAAGAGATGACAGGAGAGGTAAAGACATGGGACCCAGGTAAGGCACAGGATGTAAGACATCACAAGGGTGGCTCTTGTTTTGTTGCCTTCATCTTGTAGAATGAAATGCAATTTAAGCTGTCTTGGATTTTATTGACAGGGATTCTATTCTGTTTATCCTGGTAAGTGAATTTGCCAAGGAAGGCTGAATTATTTCTACTGTCAACATTATGAAGTGATCTATGCCTAAAGAAGCATATGGATGAACTGGTTTTGTGTACAGGCTTAGTCCTCTCTGCTACATCTGCCTGTTACTTTGCTTCAGGATTCCTGTGGATCAATCTTGATTTTTTTGACATAAAGAACTGCTTTCATTCTCTGGAAAACTAACAATATACCAAATATTCCACTAAAATGATATTTTTCTTTCAGACATTATTTGCTCCCCAGAGAATTTCTCATGTTTCTCCCCTCTTTTCCTTGCCTCCATCTTCAGAAAATCCCTTCTCTACTGCATCACAGATTCTAAATACTCGAATGCCTCAGGAGCATGCAAATGCCCTCGAATTCCAGACACTTTAATTGTCTTTTAGTAGTAATGCAAAGAAGACGGAGCAGCAGAGCTGTGGATGCCCATGACAATGTCCAGTTTAGCACTTTAGTTCTTTAGCTCTTTAGTTCTTTAGCAGCCAGGACTTCCCTCTGGCCGGGCGCAGTCGGCTGCTGCTTCAGAGGAGCTGCCCTGGAGCGGGGACGGGCTGGAATAAGTTAACTAAACCTGCGGCAGCAGCAGCAGCAGCAGCAGATGTTTCCCTGGGGTTTGAGGATGTGAAAGCCTCTGCTCTTCTCCCTCCCCTCCCTTCCCTGCTTTCGCCAGAGGTGAAGGCACAGCAGGGCCCTGCGGCCAGGAAAGCCCCACGGCCTCCTCCGCCCGGGCAGTTCCCGGGCATGGAAGGAGGGAAGGAGGGAAGGTCGGAAGGACGGAAGGCCCGCCCTGAGGGGCCGGGCCGGGGCCACCTCCCGGCCCACCCTCTCCTCCTCCACCTCCTCCTCTTCCTCTGGCCCACCCTCTTCGCGGCCTGGCAGTTTTGTGTTGGTGTTTGTGTGTGGGACATGGTGTTCCATGATACAGGAGCTTTTCCCCTGTGGGTTTTGTTTTACACCTGCTAGCGCTTTACCCACCTACACTCACCCCGTGGGATTGAGCTTCTTTTCCCTGTATGAATTTGCAGATGGATGCAGGAAAGCTCAATGATTATCTACTTTGATTCCTTTCCCGCACAGAAATGGGCAGAGTGCTGGAGAGAGGGGTATTTAGCCTTCCCATGTGCCAAAGTTGCATGCCAGGGTGAGGGTAACAGTGTCTGCTTCCTAGTGAGGCTTTGCAATGCAAGCACAGTAAATTGCTTAAGCTGTCTGGTAGTATTAAACCAGGCTATTTAATTAGTGTACGTATGTGCTGGATCTTCTTATTCTGTGGCCTGCTTGTGATCAAAGACGACATTAAAAGTTCTACTCTCTGACAAAAAAGGGAAACCCACATGCAGCATTTCAGTACATAGTCACATCAGAGTATTTATTTTGTTTTTGGTTTGAGTAGGCATCATAGACATTGTCTGTTCCAGAAAAGACACTGCCATTTTATTGCCCTGGAATGTTATTTGTACAATCTGAGTTTCAGACTGATGTAAAGAACATGAGAATTTTAATTTTTGTTTGTTTATTTGTTGGATTCTTTTTGTTTGTTTGTTTTATTTTGTTTTGTTTTCCCCTAGAGTTTTTATTTTTAATTTTTTTTTTTTTTTTAAATAATGACAGTTTTGGCACTATGTTTTTCCCTAACTGATTAATTAAACTTTTTGAGGACAATGTAGAGCATGTTTATTGAAGTTTCTTAATTAAATTTGAGTTTTCTGAGCCATCTAAAGGAAGTTTTGGTCTTACTGAAAAGATGCTGCATTTTTAACTTTGGCATGCTTTATGATAAAGAAGTTTCTTTTTGAGCTTAGGAAACACATGAGTGGTGTAGTTGTCAGAAAGAAAATATAAAGATCCACTTGCAAAACATAATACAGTTTATATCTTGCGGGCTTTTTGTCTAAAGGGTTACACTTAAATGAGATAGATTAGAAACTGAAATTATTTCTCCTGTATGACTTTAAAATGATAAGTAATAGAAATGGTAATATTTCTGCACTTACCGTGAACAGGCAGTTTAGAAATGCCAGCTGTCATTAAAATGCTTGGATCTAGAAAACCAATCTTGACTATTAGCATGATTGAGAAAAATAATTTAAGTAAGTAGAATTGCTATTTATATAATCTTTTAATACAGAAATCTCTTTACAAAAACTATCTCAAAATATAATTACTTCAAAAAAATTTTAGCAGTTACCATGACTTAAATATTTTCCTATCACTTTATAGAATTTTCATTTCTAAATAAATGAATTGAAACAATGCCAACTGAACACTATAATAATACAACACTTTATTAATTAATAAATTGACTAATTATTTAAGCCTTATTCTAAACTGTTTCTTGCCAATGCAAGATTCAGACTAAATTTAATTTTCTGATAAAGTATTGTGAATATACTTGATTTTGCAACTCCAACACTGAGGCTGAAAGATTCAGAAAAAAAATTTTATTAAATACTTGATGTATTTCACACTTGACAATACTTGACTATAGTGCTTGATGTGAAACTTTAAGGGGTGAACAGCATTTCCTTTCAACTCAGTGGGCACAGGAATAATGTTAATTTGGCCTAATATATCCTGGTTCCTCCTTTGGACAAGAAGTGGAAAGAGACCCCTCTTCACCTGATGCTGTTGTAACTTTCTCCTCAGGGTGGAGCAGGAAGGTTTGTTTTCCTGTGTGGTCCACCTACTATTTCTCATCTTGAATTGAGACTCCTCCAATATGCAGAACCGCTTAGAAATATAAGAGCTCAATTTCCTGTGTTTCAATAGCGTCTGTACTGCTGCCCAAGTAAAATTTAAATGCATTGAACAAGATGTCAGCATTTTACACTTGAATTTAACTCACTGCAGGCTCTTTTGGCCTGTTTCCATGTCAGAAATTGGTAGCAAAGCTGTTGAATTAACTCAGTCCTATTTTAAAGTTGAGCAAGGAATCCTCAAACAACAGTTATTTTATATGTCAAATGTACCTTTTGAGGGCATGGTCATATTAAGCTGGGAGGTTTGAACTAGCCTGGGCTTGGGAGTGAATTGCCCCAAACTTCTATGTGTCTGATCACTATGCAAACTGTTTATCTTCATTTGTATTTTTCTGCAAAAGGAACTGTTTTTCATACTTTGTATAGTGCCTGTAAAAAGCACAAGCCAATGAGGAATCAGACCCTATGTATTTCGAGTGTATTTGTCTGATTAAAAAACTTAATTAGGGAGTTAATTCAGAAATGCATTAATTTTTTATGAGAGTACTGAAACAAAGGATTTTTCCCACTGCTTGTTAAGGATGGGTTCAGACAGAAGAGATGGAATAATATATTTAATGACTTTAAAATGTGATTAAAGCAGTTCCCTTGTACTTCATTTTCTGTGGCTCTTTCTGTGAGACTTACTGACTTTTTCATACTTTATTTTTTCCCTATGGAATGAGAGTCTTTAACCTGGTCACATGCACTCTTTAAACAGAGAGAAGGAATGGGAAAAATCATTTGTACTAGACACTGCTGCAGCAAGTACCATATCAATTCCAAAGGAATTCCAGTAAGAAATTTAACAAAAAGTTTTGAAAAAATTTTGGAAGACTGTCTCAAATGTGAGGAAAAGAGTGTTTGAGAGTTGGAATTCATTTGTGGACTGAAAGATTTGCAAAGCAAAATGGGTGCTATGCGAGTGAAATGTGTATGCACATGAAAGAGAATTTAAACTGACTTTCTCACAACATAGCATGCAATGCCATTGCAGATACTAAGAAAGTAAATCCAGAAGTTCTACAGTATCTTCCTTTGGTAGCTGTATTGCTTTTACTTTTTCTGCTTCTTTTTAAATAAACAGTTCAAGAGCTCCATCTTCGGGTTTAAGGTGTTATTGTAAAAAAAAAATTTCTTTTTACATTAATTACTACCACTAAAACTTCCTATGAGTTATGTAATGTACATCTTCTCATATCTTCTCAGTTTGCAGTGCTTAACATTGCTAGATACACTTACACCATTGCATTTTGATAAACTTTGAACACTCTCTTTTTAATATAATTGTTTTCAGTTTTTCTTTCATTAGCACACTTGGTTTTGGTGGATTATGTTTTTTGCTTTCAATTATGATACATAAATCAATTTGACAGTTCATAAAATATTTATGGACCATGACAGAAAATAATGGCAGATGGAATTTTAAAACAGGCTGTTTTTCAGGTAGGCTTTGTTATATGTTAGGAATTAGTATGCTTTTATTAAAATGAGAACATATGCTGATTTTTGTCAATGGGGAATCTGTTCAAGTTCTTTTGGGAGCAGAATTTTAATGAAACATTAATTTTGTTTCTGCCAGTGCAGCACAGTTCTAAAAGGCTTAAATATTACAGTGAAAAAATTTAATCCATTTTATTTTTCAATAAAAAGCCTCTAATATTCCATGAAGTCTTTGGGGAAAATAAAGTTATTAGAAAAATTTTGCTCCTCAAACAAAGTTATGAAAGTTGTACATAACAAAAAAAATATTGTGAAGTAAATTAAACTGTTAATCACAGAAAGCCACCACCTACAAGATACTCTTATCAGTATCTTCTGTCTTTTTTTTTCTTTCCTTCTCAAGTGAAGTTTGATATCTTCCTACTTTCTAGGTATCTTCAGTGGCATACTCAGCTGACATTCTGACATGACAACTACAGGCAGTTCTTTTAACTTAACCTGATTGTCTTGTCCTTAGAGCCAGAGAATTTACCTTGCTTCTGTTTTCCATAACAACACTGTAGAGAAGTGCAATGGCAATTTTTCTAATAGAAGGGGTGAGTTGATGGTTACCCATTATTGCTTAAATTATTGTTTAAATCAAGATAAATCAAACCCAAGTTGTGATTTGACCCCATATTTCTTCTTGTCCCCAGCAAATATCTCAATCTGTAATCAGTTCGTGTGACTATGTATTGTTGCTATTAGTTTTTGACTACTCAGTCCAAGTTAGCAACAAGCACCAATCTGGTGTCACATAAGTATTTGGCCTGCCTTCTTAAAATAATTGCTAATATGTTCAGTGGTTTTTGACTACTCAGTCCAAGTCAGCAACAAGCACCAGTCTGGTGTCACAATAAGTATTTGGCCTGCCTTCTTAAAATAATTGCTAATATGTTCAGTATTTTATTGTTGCCTTTTTGTATTTGAGAGATTCTCCTCCATTGTTATTTGTTTCCCAGATTTTTCCAAATGAATTAGAAATCACAATGCCTTAACTCCCTGTTACTCACATCCTTTCCAAGCAGAAGGTGGAGACAAAGAACACAAAATGCTGGGATGCTGAAAGCTGTCCTTATCTTCCTGCTGGCTTCAGTTCTGTACCTCAGAAAACTCTGTCAGATAACCTCAGATCTGACTTACCACCTGAACAAAATGTCAGCTTTCTTCCAGAAGCCATGAGAATATTGCAAATCTCTGCAATAAATCTTTATGGATCTTTTTAATTTTTGTTTAAAATGAACACAAATTACAGCAGAAATAAAATACCTTATATTTAATCTCATGAAGAAATTAAGAAGGTCACAGTCATGACAGAATCCAAGCTCATTGCTTCATTGAGGGTTGATGTTTGTATGGATTGACCTGCTCACTGAGGGTATTGTAACAAGGCAGCTGAATGTTATCCATGTTTTGGACAGTGCTTTTTCCCCTTTTCCTCATTATGGACAGCCTTAAATTAAAATGTGACAAGTCTTTCTTAAAACATGAATATATTTAAAACTAAATTTAAACTGTAGTTTAAAATATATTTAGAATAAGGGTGCTTTTCTGATACTAGGCCTTTGGCATTGTTTGTTGTTGCTGCAATGAGTCACGGTTGTAAAGATATTAAGCAGCTATTAACTGAATACCCATTGAAGAAAACAACTATTAAAGAGTGTAGATTAACCTAAATTATGCTGATCATTTTTCCCTATAAATTAAGTAGTTGTATTAATGTTGTTCTGTCTTCCAAATTCAACTCTTAAAGATTTCTAAGTGTGACACCAAGACAAAAGAGGTTAAAAATAGTGGGATATGTTTTATTTCCACTGTTTTTCTTTAAATATAAAGTAACAAATTCAGTGAAAATATTTTTAAAAGAAAAGGCTCTTCTTTATCAAATTCCTTGTTACTAAGTGGTTTAAATGATTTTAAGTGTTTTGATTAATTACAGTTCTGGACTCACTGATATATGCTCATTAGGTCATCCTGCAGAATTTAAATATTTTTTAATATTTCTTTGGATTTTTGTTAATAATTTTCAGGAAACCAGGATAATGATTTTCTGTGATTGTTGTAACAATTACAACCTTCTCTCTACTCTTCCACTTGTCTGTAGGACTGTTTACTTCAAAATATTGCTTTCTTCTACAGTAGGTATTCCAACTTCATCTAACTTGTTATGTTCACAGAACCTGAAGCTTGAATTTTATGTTATAATCTTAAAAACAGAAAAAGGAAGAGTTTAGGAATGTATTGCTTTCTAAGTTGTATGTATCTAACTTCAGAATACAAAGTTACCACTTTATTTTCTCATTAAACCAAACAATTACTGGAAAATCTGAGAGTTAAATTTTACTCTAGAGGTGAAACAATTCTGGGAAATAATTTAAAGATTTATTTTATAAGTTTGTAATATTATTTAATGTTCAGTAATGGCTCTGAGTGTTATAAAGGTTTATCCTATTAGTGTATTTTTTCTCTCTTCTGACTTTAACAACTGTAAACATGACTACTACTTATGAAATTTGAAAGTTAAAAGGTGAGATTTAAATGTTTTATCCCAACTCTGTTTCTAAACAATTTAGTACTAAGAAATAATATTTTCACTATATCTGGGACAGACCACTGTGAGTATTCTAGGCTTGGCTCCAGTGTTCTTTTGAGATGAAGGGCAACATCTTTATTTTACAGTGTTTTTTTCTTTTTTTCCCCACAAAAATTTGGGTAAATACAATCCTGCACTTTTTTAATCCTGCAGGTTTAAAATACCTGACATGAATGTTCTTTTTCTGGAACACTATGTAATCTAAGATAAATATTTTTATGATGGAGAACATATGAACAAATAAGAATAATAGCAAA